TGTGATGGTAAAATTGCTAAAGAGAACCATGGCGATTGCAAAAAAAGTCAGGCTCTGCAAGATGCGGGAATAGATAGCCGAACTATCTATTTCATCAAACACAAAATACAGATTAGATTACTATGGATTGCTGGCCAAACTTCACTGCTAATTCCAGAAGACAAATAAAGATCCTTACAAATCCGAATTAAAAATATAAAGAAAAACTACTTAATAGCATTGTGTAACATGCCCTACATATACCATTGTATATCATGACCATTTTAAACATTAATTGGCTGCTGCTGGGCATATGAAATGAAATGAAATGAAATGAAATGAAATGAAATGAAATGAAATGAAATGAAATGAAATGAAATGAAATTAAATTAAATGAAATGAAATGAAATGAAATGAAATGAAATGAAATGAATTGAATTTGAAATGAATTTATTTTGCTAGAATGTAGGTAGTTTTTGATAAAAGAGGTTTACATTTCCCATATACATTCTGCCTCTATGTCGGCGTGCAAATTATTAATAATATGAAAAAATTACATAATTCTACATTATATTTCCCCTTATTAGTCATACTATTTAACACACACATAATTTATTACAGTAAATAGAAAAGAAAACAAGAGCCAAAGCGTCAATCACATCTCTATTATAGACTGTCAAGTACATTTGTTTTTTTTAGTTAAATATTCATTGATGGTATAAAAATTATTACATAACAGCCAATTCCTAAGTTTATGTTTGAACACTGTATGGGCTGTTATTTCTCTAATGTAATTTGGTAGATGATTGTAAACTTTAATAGCCATACAATATGCATTCCTTTTATGTAAATCTAATCTACACTTTGGTACACATAATTTGTCCATCACACAAAGGCCTTCTCAATAGATTGCTGTAAGGAGTGGTCCTGTTACACACACTGATTGCATTTGCTTCGTAGCTCCATCTAACGGTGGGGCCAGGAATGTTTATTATTATTTTTTATCAACACACCCATTCATGTAATAGTGCATCATCAGTTTGCACTTACACCTCCTACAGTCATTACCATGGGCACCGGGCACGAAGACAGATGGGAACAAATAAAAATATCATGTGGGTGTAATGTTCATTATAAAGGTGAATTGATCCAATTTCCTTTCTAACATTATTATTGTACTTTGTTTGGTATGGGTTTATTTATTTATTTATTTTATACGAAAATCCACAGCTCTTAAAAATACCTCTTATATACAGACAATAACGGATTTTATTTATACAAACGAAAAATATAATTCCAAAATTTTATTTGTTTGAATAATTTTTTAAACCACTTCCTAAAAGAGGAGGTTCCAATTTTTCTGTTCATTTTATAAATTTTTTTTTTGCCAATTTCCAAACAGATCTTGATAATTCATTTCGATCGATCAGTTTTAACGCGGGTTACTCTTCTATTAATCACCAACGACTGAAATCATAGACACCAAATATATACAAATTTACTAAATAAATAATCAGTGCCACCACCGTTAAATTAATCCATAAATGAAAAGTTCTACAGTTAAAGACTGAGCGACAACGTCGGACTGCCCAAATAGTCGAGGTGCCATTTGCCATCCGGGCCCCAGCCAGCGTGGACCTGCCACGAGTCTGATATGCGGCTCTTGCAGTGTCGCTACCAACTAATGCAATTACCATCATCTAGTCTCGGATCCCGGGTTTTTGGTCAGCAACAACCGGTTCTTCCAGCTCAGTCCGACCCTGATTAGCGATGGAGAAAGCTGTGTTGGGAATTTCTTTAAGAAACATGATGCGCAAAGAGAAAATACGACGGAAATTAAAACTCAACAACTGAAGTGGCGATGGTCTGCGTATTTATCGAAGTCGTTGGTAGGTAAGGAAGTAAGGTTTTGGAGTGTAGGGGACGTACAAGATGAGATACTTTAGAAGAATATCCCGACGACATTAATAAGACAGCCAGAAGTGGATGGATGCGAAAAACGGAGGATCGCATGGTGGAAAGCATTGGGTAAAGCTTCCACCAGGGAACAGACTAAGGCTAAAATAAATGAATGTACGAAATCCAAAAAAAATTAATGGATATTGTTTGTTATTTTTTCAAACAAAAACTGAAAGGATTATAGTTGCGGGTAGGTTGAATTCTAACTTAGCGCTTAGAATATTCTAAGTACTAATTCTCATGGGTAAAACCGTGGCATAATGCTTGTATATAATATATTTTATCGCAAAATCAATTACAAATTATATATAGAAACAAATCGAAAAGTTGTTATTATGATAAAGTTATATATACCACCTACAATAACTTCCAAAATATTAAATGAATACAAATGATTTGGCAGATTTTCGTGTAAACTCGGACAAAGAGCCGGGCCGAGGCTGGGAACTAACTTCGGAACAACTATAGGCAATTGCTTGCGTGACTTGTAAGCGATCATTAATATAAGAAGTGTGTTACCAATTAATATATTAGTTATGTCACAGGCACAGAATTTACCCAGTTTTTCTAACTAGTTTAAGGATTTTCTGCATTCTTTTTAATCAGTTAATAAAATAATATCAATTATGACATAATTTTATTAATTAACTCATCATAATTTTTTTTTTTACTTTTTATGATAGTTACAAAAAAATTACAAACAAACCGACGATTCATTTGCTAGAAAACTTATAATCGTCGCCTATAGACATGAGCAGTATTGTGAATATCTTAGAATCCACTGTGACATTCATAATGTCGACCTTATGGCCTCAGCATAGAATAGGCCATCCCTTCCAAGCCTATGTTTAGTAAAAGACAAGTAACGGCTAATATAATGGTAATGAAAGTTTACTGTTAGTTTAACATTCATTTTGTGAGGATTGTAGATAACTTCGCTCCGCGGAGTAAAAAAGTTGTTATAGAGCAAAATTGATTGGTACACGACTGCGGAGCTGTTGATTATCGTATATATTTTTGCCCCATAGAGGTGCTAGTAAACAAGAGTTTATTATGTCACATTTATATTATATGTGAATAAATGCTTGTTTATAACATGGTATAATAAACCGCACTATTGCATAATCGATTGAAGTAAAAAGTTAATAAATTATCTACATTTTACCAGAGGGAGACTTTGTACAAAAGTCGATTGCTTGGGTACCTCTGTCCCATTCGTGTTTCAACTGTAAAGCAGTTGTGTTTGCATGGCTGTGTTTCGGTATGAAGGGTGGGATATGGCGTGAATTTACTGGGTACAGATGAATAACACCTGTGTCCTCAGGAATGACAACGCATGGGGGTATCATGGGCGAAACAGTATACTCAGTTATGTCCATGGTACTGCTCATGTCTATAGGCGACGGTTACCACTTTCCATTAGATGGGCCGTCAGCTTGTTTGCCATTCTAAGTTGTATAACAAAAAAACATTATATAGGATTAGCTATTGACAATGGATTATCTACCGTTTCCTGGAATACAAATTCGAATTATCTTTATTTAAATAGACGTGTTTACAAGCACTTTTAAATCGTCATTTGTCATGAATCTACTGCAGGTTTTGGAATATTTACTGAAAAGAAACTCGAAACTTGCTCTTTTAAATCTCTGCTAACATTATATTTATTTATTTAAATGCACTGTCCCTCCTCATACCTCCTCATGCTATAGTGGATCGTTTACGGTTCATGCGGCTACACTATGGAACTCTCTTCCACTGCATATTCGTGAAAGTCAATCGCTGAATATATTCAAGAGCAGATTAAAAGAGCATCTTCTGTTCTCATAAACTTATTATGTCTATGTATGTATATGTACGTATTTTGTATATATATATATATATATATATATATATATATATATATATATATATATATGTATTTTGATTTTAATTGTATGAGTTATTTATATATGTCAACATATTTATTATTTTTTAATAGAAATATCTATAATGTTTCTTTCTATTATTGTACGCACACTGCTCACTAGTAATTAATGCTCCTTTCCACTCAGGGTTTGCTGGAAGAGAACTCTTACAGAGTTAAGCTCGCCTGTTGTACATCTTTATTTTATATATATTATGTTGTAATTTTTTGTGTACAATAAAGAATAAATAAATAAAATAAAATACTGTGTCTAAAATCACATTCATTAAAAATTCCGTGCATTGATCGATCATTCATTCATGATCACACTTAGTAACTAAGTAAGGAACTTCTATGTTAAAATTTCATAAAACCTACGTTTTTGCTATTGCTTTTAATTATTAATAATTTTATTAAATAGGTTTTGAACAACGTAGCTTAGGAGAAGTTGTTAACTTGGAATTATTGATATAAAAAACTATAATAATAATACTTTTATTTCCTATGATTTTGGCTATAAAACATTAGATCTTATAAATTAAAACTATCTTACAAAATCTACTTAGATCAAGCGTGCAAATATTTAAAACAAAAGTTACAATAATTTAATTTCTAATTTTTGGTAGCATTAAAAAACTAATTGTTTAGGAATATATATATATATATATATATATATATATATATATATATATATATATATATATATATATATATATATATATATATATATATATATATATATATATATATATATATATATATATATATAGTAATTCGATTTATTTTATTTTACATAAATACATACATATCTGTCGCCTGTCTCCCATTAGGGTAGGCAGAAATAATGGAACGCCAAATGCTTCGATTCAAACAAACCTCTTTCGCTTCTTCCACATTCATCAATCTTCATACACGCTCGCCGGTTACGGGTACTTTTAATTTGGCCCTTCTTCAGCACGTCGCCTACTTGGTCAATATACGTCCGTCTAGGGCGGCCCCTACTGACATCTCCATTCATTCTTGCTCGATAAATCTCATTCGTAATTCTTTTTTCATCCATCCTCTCCAAATGACCAAACCAACGCAACATTTTGTTTTAATAATAAAAAGAGTAATTATATTGTTTTAATTAATTAATCGTAATATAATTTTCCAGCTCACGGCAAACGGTCAGGCAGGCCGCCAGTCAGCGCTTCAGACTGGTACCTCACAAGAATGCTTCGGCGTATTGCTTCTAATACAGAATTGGTTAGTAATGATATAATTTTTTTTGTTTTATACAACTTAGAATGGCAAACAAGCTGACGGCCCACCTGATGGAAAGTGGTAACCGTCGCCTATAGACATGAGCAGTACCATGGACATAACAGAGTATACTGTTTCGCCCATGATACTTCCCATGCGTTGCCATTCCTGAGGACTAAGGTGTTATTCCTCTGTACCCTGTAAATTCACGCCATATCCCACCCTTTAAACCGAAACACAGCCATGCAAACACAACTGCTTCACGGTTGAAACACGAAGAGGACAGAGGTACCCAAGCAATCGACTTTTGTACAAAGTTTTAAAATATATGGATCTTATAAATAATATAGATAAAAAAGAATAGTACTTAGGCCGAGGATTCCGTCCCACTGTATTACCATAAGAATGTATTAATATCCCACTATTGGGCACGTATTTGTCACTATTAGAATAACATATTTATTTAATGGAATGATAACCCTGTCTATGCTATTGGTATACGCTAGCAGGGCACTATTAAAAGATGATAGGTAAAGATGGAAGTAGGTCAATTAGTCTATTGTGCCAAATTTCTTGTTAAAATTTCTTGAAACTCATGAAAGGTATCACGGGCGGCAATATATATTCTATTATGTCCATGGTACCACTTTCTATCAGGTGGACTGTTAATATGTTTAAATTGGCAATTTAAGTATGAATAAGACAAAAAATAATAAACAGACAAAAATAACATAAATTAATACATCTCTATTTATTTTTTATTTTATACACAGTTATTTCTATAAAAACTTATATTATTATTGTTTACTAAATATGCAAAAACAAACGGATTATATTTAAATATAATCCGTTTGTTTTGAATGTATGTTTAATTAATTAATTAATGTTGGTTTTAAAACCAACTTTATACGAACTTTATCTCGGTGCGACATCTAGTTTCAAACGTTAAACTTCTGAAATATAACGCCATCTATATATTGTATTCGTAAACTTACAGACACGACCTCGGCAATTGAATTTGAGGAATGATGATATCAACGCCATCTATCAGGTGGATGTGCCCAACGACTCAACCGCTTCGGACAAACTCAAGTAAACTTTAGACACAATTTCTTTCTTTATTTAAAAGATGGCAGTATAGTAGTACTGTCAAGATGTTATTTTTTTTTTATTGGTAGAAAATAAAATAGTAACCCCGCTTGCGCTAACGGGATACGCTGGCGAGCACCAGTGAAGGGTGATCGATGAGGATGAAAACAGGCCAGTTAGCCCATCATGATGAATTCATCAGGATTTAATCATGATAGTTTCCAGGGGGAACCGCGAGGAGGTCGACCAATGGGATTCTCAATCTCCATTACTAACAATCCCTTTCCCCCTCAAGATGTTATTTATAAATATTTTTTTAATACTTTATAACTGGCTATATATAGGGTCGCATTCTTTGCCTTTAAACTAAACATCCCACTGAAAAAAAAAGCAAGTGAATAAGGACTCAAATTTTCCGATCCCAAAACCGTACACAGCAACACGTTACCTTCGATAGAAAATGATAATTATTGGGGTATTCATACAACTTCATAATACAATGATACTTTCTTAATAAGCATATATTTGCTATATCGTATCAATATGTTTTTATGCCATACCATGCCATGCATAGATAAATAATATATTTACGAAATTAATAATTATACTTTTTTATTATTTACTATTTATAACCCGCGTAAACTATCCTACGCGCTAAGTTAGAATACTAACCTATCTGTGAACCAAGTTTCATTCAAATCTGTTAAATAGTTTTTGCGTGAAAGAGTAACAAACATCCATTCATCTATCGCAATAAACGTAATCATTTTAAATACTTTCCAGAGCCGACAACGAGAACATTATCCTAGATTCCACCATTAGCAGGAATCTCGAAGCGAAACCAATGTTAGATGATGAACTACTGGCGAAAATCAAAATCTGGCAAATGATGGTAAAATAGCTTTTAATTTTTTCTTTATATAATTTTTCTTTTTCTTTCATTCAATTTCACACTCATTTCCTTTCGTGAATGATCTCACTAGAGCTACTACAAGTCACCTTCAGACCCTTATGCTCTCATCTATGAGTTTGAACACCAGGATACCAGCTTGGTACGCTTGACTCGGTTCAAAGGCTACAGTGAACATTTACCATCAGACGGGCTATATGCTTGTTTACCACGTACGTGGTATAAAAAAATTAGTCATATGAAAATACACCGTCATATCAGCCTTTAACTGTCCACTGCTGAACATAAGCCTCCTCTTGGAGAGTGCTGCCAGTAGTTGCCACGTTTGGCAGGCGGGTTGGCAACCGCAGTCAGGTTTTAGAAATGTTTTAATAGGGACGCTGCTGCCCATCCCTCACCTTCCCTTAGTCGGCTTTTACAACACCCACGGGATAGGGAGAATAAAATATACATACAAATTATAAAATTTATTTTATATATTATTATTTTATTTTATTATTATTAAATTATATCTTATAATGATAATGATAATAAAAACCGAAACCGAGAAAAAGAGAAAATATCTCGACCTGGCTCACGAGGTGACCGAAATGTGGGGGGTGACGTCCACTGAGATCATTCCAATCGTTTTGTCGGTGAACGGTCTAATCCCAACCAGTCTGGAACAACATCTCAGACGGTTGGGATTCCGAGGCGGCTCACTCCCGGGAAAGTTGCAGAAAGCGGTGCTTTTAGATTCTGTCCGCATTGTACGCCGGTTTCTCTCCCTGGGGCCCTGACTGTGCTTCTGCCGGGGGTTAGTTGCCATCTCCTCTCCTTCAGAGAGGAGATGTGAATTTTGTAATAATATTTTTTTTTTTTTTCAGAGAGATGCAACAGTGAACAAATGAATAGGAAAATAAACAATCACATGGACTGACGTTATTTTTCAAGCTTCAGTTTAAAAATGTTAATTTGTATTAGAATTTATTTTAAATTGTTAACTTAGTTTATAAAATTCTAATACTAACAATGTTTACTTAATATCGTCAATTGTAAGGCTGGGTTACAATTGGCCATAACTTGTAAAATATAGAATATAGGATAATATGTGCCATTCTATGTTAATAAAACTAATATATTGTAACTTTCACACTATTTCACTTTGATGTTGATAATACTAATTTATTTTGTAATTTAGTTTATATAATTTGTCATTATTTTATGATAAATAATATTTTAATAACAAATTAAATAGTTTATTAATTTTATAAACAGTATCAATAATGTTATTCAACGAAGATACCATTTTTATTTCTTCTTCAAGAGCCTCCTGATTATTGGAGGTCGAACATTAGCTTCGCAAATTCCTTTCATTAATTTGCCATTCCAAATTTAATATACATTTAATATTGCATTTAATTAAAAATTATTATTTCAATTAATTAATAATTAAAATATAATATAAATGTATAATTTAGTTTAATTTAGTAACACTAAATTATTATTCGTAATTACGTGACGAGCACGTGACTATTGCGTAACGTCACAATGATTAGTCAAATGTAAAACTAGATAAAAACATGTATACGGTAATGAAAATAAATGCTTTAGACGAATACACATTGTTTTCTATAAAAAAAAAAAAAGAAAATGTTATTTACGTGTAAAATCGCGAATATTGTTTGTTGAATGTAATTATATAAAATGAAACTGAGAAATATATGGCAGATTTATCGTGGCGTATTTATTTATATATTCTACCTATTTTTCTTTTTTTTTTTTTTAATGAATGATAATGGAATGGTTAATCAGCCTGAGCAAATGGTATACGCAGGTGGGGTACCAATGAGGTATGATAAGTGAGAATGAAAGGCTCAGTTAACCCATCGTGATGGGTTATTTGTAATTCAGCACAATGTTTTCCAGGACGACCACGGGGTAGACGACTTGATAGGATATATTGTTAGCAATGAAACTAGTCTGCGTTACCAACGATCTCTCCCTGCTCTCCAATTCGGTTAACAACTGACGGAGTTATGAAGTAACAAACATAGAAAAATAAAATAGAATTAAAAACCTCCTTCTTTTCAAAATCTGTTGATTATCTAAATGTTTTTAAATCGAATTAACCACTTGATGGAAAGTAATAGACATGAGTAGTGCCATGGACACATAACGAACATATATATATATATATATATATATATATATATATATATATATATATATATATATATATATATATATATATATATATATATATATATATATATATATTATAATATAAAAATATGAACAACTACATTAAATTGCATTAAAATAAAATAAAACATATGGAAATAAAAAAAAATCGTTAAAATAATAAAATAATTAAATTAATTTGGAATTTAATTCGAATTTAATTAAATTGATGAAATTGAAATTGAATTATTTAAATCTATATGACAATTTAAGGATCGTCGCCCTCCTCGCTTCTAATTGCTGCGCCCGACAGGGTCTACAATGTACTTTATCCATTATTAACATCTTTCATAATAATATTGTAGAATGCAATAAATTGAATTGAATTGAATTGAATTGAATATACTGTCAAAAATAACCAATTATTTAAAAAAATTACATTTCGTAATACGAAATAATACCGAATCGTGTATCCTTTGCAAACTCGACTTTACCTGCATTAAACTTCCACTAATAAAACCTACACACCAAATAATTTTGTGTATGAGGTAAAGGCCAGTTCTTACTAAAAGCTTTGTTGCTATATATCTCTCTCTAAGGATAAATGTAGCGCTAATTGCTTAAACTAGAAGGGTCCAAGTCATAAGCGCCATAGAGTGAACTCTCTCCTTACAGTGACGGCGCAAGTAAAGCACGTATGTAGAATGAGTTACGTAAATAAGTCGAGTCACTTATTTGTTTGTTTATATTTTCGTTGTTTTCTATTAAAATAGACTGTATATTTTTTTATTTATGTGAGAAAACACATTGGTTTATATATGTGTCCATGTATATTATCGGAATTACTTCAGCCATCAAATGTCTACTGCTGAAGATAGGCCTCTCACAGAAGGGGCATTTTGTCAGTACCCACATTTTGTAGTTGCCATGCTTGGCAGTCGGGTTGGGAACCGCAGTTAGGCTTAGGTTATATTTTAAGATAGACGCTGCTGCCCATCTCTCGACCAATAAATTAATTCTCTTAGTCGCCTTTTACGACACCTAAGGGAAAGAAAGCGATGGCCGATTCTATGCTGGGACCACACAGTATTTATATAAACTCGTACATTTATACATAATAAAGAGAATTTTATGAACTTACTATGTTTGTTGTCTCCGATAATTCTTTTTTAATGGGTGATAATGGAATGGTCACCCCACCTGCGCTATCGGTACACACCGGCGGGGCACCACTGAGAGATGATAGGTGAAAAAGAAAGCAGTTCAGTTAGCTTATAGTGAGGAATTCCACGGAAATGAACCACGATGGTTGCCAGGGTGAACCGTGTGGAGGTCAATGCACCTTGCATTGCTAGCAATGGGGCTGTAAGATTCCATTACTAATAGCCCCTTTCCTCCTAATCACTATTATCCTACAATTCAGGTGGCATACGACGCTTTGCGTCACAGCGTCTCATCCTGCACTCGTATATTATTGGATCCATGCTAATTAAACCTGCGGGGTAAAGGGATTGTTAGTAATAAGGTCTAATTGACCCACTGCTAGCAATACACCTTATCAGGTCGACCTCCACGCAATTTCCCCTGGAAACCATCGTGATTAATTCTAGTGGAATTCGTCACGATGGGCTAACTGACCTGCCTTTTCATACTCACCTACGAGTATCATGCCTCGCAGATGAAATAATTTAGGAATCTTTCAATCTAGACGTCGTAATCTTGTTACTGGTTCTATTATTGATGATGTGGCATCAGCTTTCCTATTTGTATGTGAAAGTTTGTCTAACGAAACGTTATTTTAACGTTTTTTCTAGCGTGAAGCAGTTCTGTTTGCATGGCTGCCCTGTTAGCAATATACCCTATCAGGTCGACCTCCATGTGGTTCCCCCTGGAAACTATCGTGAACAATTCTTGTTGAATTCGTCTTGATGGGCTAACTGACCTGCTTTATCTTCACCTATCATCCCTCACTGGTGCTCCGCCAGTGTATTTCCATAGCGCAAGCGGGGTTACCATACAATGAGTACCTATTAAATAAAATTAAATCCGCTGCGTAATTATAATTTGGACCACAGCTAAACTGGATGGCCATCAAAATACTAGCGGGCCCTATTAGCGATGGTGCTTGACCGCTCCGGGAACTGAGGAATGTTCTTTGCCTGGTGGATTACCACTACATCCACAATGTATATAAAGTTTTAAAAAGTATTCAAAATCCCTACTAAGATTATAAATGTGAAAGTGAGTTTGTTTGTTACTTCTTAGTACCTGAACAGATCTATCATCATCAGCGACTGCGTCCATATGACCAGGATATATTCATTATCGAAATAAACCTGTATCCATTCTTCTCCATCCTAAATAGTATTTGTATACTAAATTTTATATTTTATTATTATATTAATTGTTAACCGTCCACTGTTGTCCGCCTTTCCCATAAAAACAAAAACTCCCCTTAGTTCTACCAATAGTTGTCACGCTTGGCAAGTGGGTTGTCAACTGCAATCAGGCCTTTGGTGATGTTTTAAAATGGATACTGCTGCCCATCCCTCAATCCTTTAGTTCCTTTAGTCGCCTCTTACGACACCCACGGGAAACAAAGGGGGGGGGCCTATTCTTTGCAGGGACCTACACGGCAATTTTATACTGATTACTTGAACCGTTAAGGCACCAAGAAATAAAAAAAACATACAATTGCACATTTCTATTAATGGTAAGGATGTATAAAGATTTCAACCACAGCTTTTCGAAGTTTAATAAAAATTAGAAGTCCCATACTGCAAGTAATCACTACGTTATTGTAGTGTCGAGTCGGCATTGAATTATATTGAGAAATATAGAAAATGAATCTATGCAACCATATGTAAGTATCAGCCAAATATAATACATTAACATTTATTGTATTATACAGCTACCTATTTAATTTTATGTCAAATTTTCAACTTTAACAAATTAGTGGCATAGATACAAACCTTTTTTTTTTTAACTAACGCACGCCTATCCTTCTTTTATAATCTGCGACGCTGAAAGGCGCTGACGTAAATCGAGATATCCCTAATAATAAGAATTAACGAAGCAGATATCCGAGACTTTAAAATTACTGCGACCTGCTGTTTAATTATTAACTTTTGGATTTCTTTGAAGTCGAAATGCAAATAATATTAATAGTTTTATTATTTTAAATGCAGCTGTTGAGCTATTGCTATTATTATTATTATTATTACTATGTATATTTTAATAGTATTGCGCACAACGCCATCTAATCTCAAACTAAACTAACCTGGTACTATGAGTATTTTTTTTAATGGATGATATTAGAGTGGTAACCCTGCCCGCGCTATTGGTATATACCGGTGGGGCACCAGTGAGGGATGATAGGTGAGGATAAAGCAAGTCAGTTAACCCATCAAGACGAATTCAACAAGAATTATTCACGATAGTTTCCAGGGGGAACCACATGGAGGTGACCTGATATTGCTAACAGAGCAGCCATGCAAACACAACTGCTTCACGCTAGAAAAAACGTTAAAATAACGTTTCGTCAGACAAACTTTCACATACAGATAGGAAAGCTGATGCCACATCATCAATAACAGAACCAGTAACAAGATTACGACGTCTAGATTGAAAGATTCCTAAATTATTTCATCTGGCTCATCAATCTATGTTAAAAGTTTGCTTTCTAATCAGTTATATAATTCGAAAGGATTACAAAAGAAGTTGGTATTATATAAAAGCATATAATCATCATCATCATCATCATCACCATATTATCCGTCAACTGTCCACTGCTGAATATGGGCCTCCTTTCACCTAATACAGTTTTTTTTTATAACACGGGGAGTAATAGAATATGCGGTTCACCTGATGGTAAATGACTACCGTCGCGTATGATCACTTACAACAACAGAAGCATCGCAGGTGTGCTGCCGGGCTTTTAGAAAGAAATATACTCTTTACTTGAAGGTGTCGTAATAGTTCGGAAATACCGCTGCTGGAAGTTAATTCCAAACAGAAGTTGTGCGTGGAAAAATGCCTTGAAAAACGCATGGTGGAAGGCAACCACCCATCCAGATGATTGGAATGAAACTTTAGTTTATGGCGGCTTCTATGATGGTGAAAAAAAGCAGCAGCAGAATTCCCAAATATATTAATTTTCATAGAAAAATATTTTACATTTCGTCTTTTAGTAACCTAGTATTTTTAAAATACAATCTGCTTATTGTGACACTAGATGGCGTCATACGATACGTCCAGGGACGCTATACTAAGTCTATGGTCCAGGGCTATACAGGAGTATTTATTTATAGGACTAGAATAGCACATTGTCCAGTACTATGAGAAATCACCGTTCAAATATAGCGTCACCGTTCATTTAATACGAAAAGTGCCACCTCGCTACTGACGAGAAAATTGTATTACATCACAACACAAAACGTCCAGAGTGACCGCGAAAACAACGGACAGCAAATTATTGCAAATAAAACTGTGTTAAACGGTTATAATAATTGAATTCCTAAACAGGTTTTTAATGGGAATTCTTATGCGAAAATTTGATCTTCGAAAACATACT